ATATGTATTTAAAGATACTTTCCTTCTCATTGTTGGACTGGAACGTAAAGCTGTAGAAGCTGAAAAAAATAAAGAAACATATTAATTTAGTAATTTCCTGCCAATTCTATCTTAACATTATAGAACATTTCCTATGACATAATTTAGTGACCCTAATACATGTAATAAAGGTAGAAAATAGACAAGGCAAGGTTTACAGATTAAATTCAGCAAAATCATCTTTCTTATATCAACAGTTCTCTCATGGTCTTAGCCAAATAGATGTTCTGTTTATATTGTAAAAATAATAAGAATTTTAACAGTAGAATTCCAAGAATAGAGCAACAGACTTAATTTTATCCTGCCCTGATAGAAACTTAGGGTCTATAAGCATGGCAGAGGGCTGAGGGAATAGTTCTATGGCCTGGTAACAGAATTAGTAATCCTTAAGACACAGTCCCACATTGCTTTTCTGTCGAAAATAACAAATAGAGATTTAGGGATGGTTTATCTACAACACAATGGTCTACTATCATATTTAAGAATAAATTAACTAGATTATAAGTAACTAAATCAGATTGTCTTCCTATATTACCCAGTTGAGATTATCTTAATGAGTGAGGAAATTTTAAAGTTGAGTTTTTCCTTCTGTTTTTAATCAAGGTAGAGTCTGAGAGGTATGAAAAGACAAAGTAGGGATAATTCTTAAGTATGGAGTCCTTTGGGGAGAGAACAGGCCAAAGTAGGAGGAGAAGAGGGACTACTGGTATGAGCTTCTAGATTCTTAAACAAAGGGAGATGGGGAGATCACAAAATTCAGATTTAAAATTTTGGGGGAGGATCTGATAGCAATATTCAGTGTGATTCTGAAAATCAAGATATGGCCAGTTATGGTAAATTTGCCTTTGGTGGTTGACACCTACAACAAATGAATATAAATTTCAATGGCAGAGCTCAAAGTAGTCACTAATGAAAACAACATAAGTGATGAAAAAAGTCTTAAAGTGCCTACAAATCACTATACCATTACTTAGCTCTTCCTGCTTGCATATTTTTACCCTATTAACTTCCATCACTAACTTAGCCTAATTATTATTCCCATTCCTTTTTTCCAATCTGATATTGTCACTGTCCCAGTATAAGCTATATTCTCGTTACCACAATATTTATTAATTTTGTCCTAGATGGGGGAAAAAAACTTTGAATGACAGAGAATGATTAACAATGTCTTTTCCCTTATTATAAACACCACAAAGTCCATATGGTTCTATGTACATGATGCTACTTCCTTGACAATTTAGGGAATTATAAATAATGTAAATATAATAATTAATATAATTATATTATAACTATATTAATTCTGTAGCTAACCCAAAAAATACAAGACTCAGAGACTTCATCATAATTGGCACCCTATCTTATTTAATATTCAAAAAAATGAAAAAACAGAGGCTTTAGAAGACCTGGATTTTAGTCTTGCTTGACCACTAACTAGTGATTTTCTCAATTGTGTCTTTCCAAGTTTTTTTCTTTAAATAGTAAACTATTCTCAAATGAAATCTTAAATAAATGGATTAAAGCAGATACTGCGGTTGGAGCAGCCATGCAAGACACAAGCTCTAACCGTTCAGCATCCTCCCCTTCCTCAAGGAATTTCCAAAGGCTCTTGGGAATACAATTTAATGACCAATGAACTAGATTATCTCTAAGATTTATCCAATTCTATGAACTGCACTAAGTACATTCACTTTTCTCATCTAGTTCCCTTACTAACTAATGGCATGAAATTTTAAGAATCCCTCATGCTAGAGGGACTGGGGTGCAATTTGTGTACATGATACAGAGAAGAGCTAATTAGAACAATTGGAAAAGGAATCTAGCATGCTTTGCCTCATTAATGTATCTCCATAATATACTCTGATGAATTGAATTCACTAACCACAAAAATGAAGCTGTCATTAAGAGTACCACAGAATAAACCTTAAAATATTACCTTTTGGAAATATGCCACTAAAATTCTCTTTTTAAAACAAGCAGATTACTGCTGCTATTCATTCACTGCCAATCTTCTAAAATCTAAATAGCACTGATATCTACCCTAAGTTCTTATTTACCATTTAGAATCTTTAATTTCTATTTTCAGATTTCAAATCTCTGCCCCAGGAAAGTAGTGAAACATCAAGTATAAGGGTAAAGAGGTAAAATAAAATTTATTCAGGTTCTCTGCTGCATTCTTAGAGTGGAGAATTGTCCATTCTCTCAGGTTACAGAGAACTTAAAAGGAGATGTTCATTTTCTTGACTTTGACTTTATAGCTTGGAGAAGTTATTTCATTTGGAATATTATCAATTCTCAGAATCAGACACATATATATGCAAATTTTGAAATTAAAACCTACTTCCAAAGCCATTCCTAAAGTGAAATATTTTAGAATATTCATATCAATATACCACTCCATTACCATTAATGATTGAAAGCTGACTCTACTTATCAGAAATGGAAGACAAGTGAAAGGTTACCACATTGCAGAAATGTAGAGGGCACCATATAGACAAAATACTATGTGAATAGTACTCTCTAGAATTATACCACATGATGACCAAGGAAAAGGAAGAGAATAACAGTAAGACATAAAAGTGGCATTCATTCCAAGAATTATCTCATTTTATTCTTGGGCAAAATTTATTTACAGAAAAAGGGGAATGGTATACAAAGAAAGTTTGTTGATTTCTAAGATATAAGTAGAATAGCAAGATTCTTAGCTCCAAATTGAGCACTCTATCCCAAAACTAATGCTTTCCAAACTGGAAATTCTGACGTGCTGAGGAATCCTATTAAGCTGAAAATGACAACTGCCAGCTGATTTCTTACACCTAAAGGGAAGCCCCAAGCATTTACTAAATAGTGCTACACGATGTTCAATGTGTTACCATAAAGATGTTTGCTAAAAAATAAGTTTTCAAAAATCTGGGTTATATAGCTTTCTTTGCAGAACGTCAGCCTTTTATATGCTAATGTAACTATTAACATACCTCTCCAAAGGGAAGTGGGATATAATATAGTTTCCAAAACTTACTTAGCCATGAACCCCTTTTCTTCACACACACAAATTAACCTCCTCAGAATATTTTTTTGAGGAACACAATTTGAAAAACTGCTATCCTAATTTCCTCTTTAGTTAAGAGCTCTTTCTCACTACTTACCAAAAGTGGTGAGGGAATGGGTGTGTATGTGTGGGTTAATGTGGATTGATATTTTGTAATTTTTTAAAAAATTTGTTATGAAATGATATATTGTAAGATTTCTAGCAAATATAGTTTTTTTAAAAAACCGTGACTTTAGGCCGGCCCGGTGGTTCACGCCTGTAATCCTAGCATGCTGGGAGGCCGAGGCAGGCGGATTGTTTGAGCTCAGGAGTTCGAAACCAGCCTGAGCAAGAGCGAGACCCTGTCTCTACTAAAAATAGAAAGAAATTAATCGGACAGCTAAAAATATATATAGAAAAAATTAGCCGGGCATGGTGGCGCATGCCTGTAGTCCCAGCTACTCGGGAGGCTGAGGCAGAAGGATTGCTTGAGCCCAGGAGTTTGAGGTTGCTGTGAGCTAGGACAACGCCACGGCACTCTAGCCCGGGCAACACAGTGAGACTCTGTCTCAAAAAAAAAAAACCATGACTTTATATTTTGTTGACATCTATTTCTGGGTCTTATTTTTCTCCCCTTTTTGTAAGAAAAAATATTTTGGGGGAGAGTCAAAAAAAGTGGCACATTGTGCATTATACCAAAGAATTCCATTCCTAATAATGTCCCTTTACACTCCCTTCTCTCCTAAAATTCTATTCACTACCATTACTTGAGTTTATGTTTTTATAATTCTTGTTCTATTCAGACAATATATATTACCCAACAATTAAATAATAACAATGAAGGTAAATTTTCCTACAACTTTCGGGGGTCTTCCGTGGAACATCACTTGATGGAGAAGCAATGGAAGCAAGAAATTCATCCACCTGCTTCAAAGATAGGGCATTATGAAGAGTTTCTAGAGGACAAATAGATGGCACCATGGAATACAATTCAAAGCCTAGAAGAGAAAAAAACAAAAACAAAAAATAAAAGTTGGATATTCTAAAAATCAGTAATTAAAAAGAAAGAAAACCATTGCTTAGACCTGGACACTTTAGGTCTTTTCAATCTATCACATGCAAACACACAAGATATCTGAAGTCATGACACCAGATGCTATGCAATATGGAGTTGGAACAAGATGTGACAAAGATTTCTTTTTAAATGTAAATCATAATAGTACAGCATGCACACAATTTCATTCTATATTGGTAAAATCTAAGAATACTTAAAAAACAAACCTAGGGGAAAAAACAGAAAAAAATACAATTTTCCAGTCTTTAATTTTTAAAGTCAGGTCTATTCAATAGGTGAATAAACTGATGTCATGATGGGTCTCTGATGCCATCATGCTAAAGGTAATTTCTTGTTGAAAAATAATTCTGTAATTACTTGAGAAGAGTGACTTGAAACACTTTTCTAGGCATGTGAAGACCAACAATATTCTCTAAGATGATCCCCAAACAACATTCATTCACTTATGCTGGAATTAAAATTCCAAAACATATTTCACCTACCTTTACTGAATTAACACAATAATTGTACTACTAGAAATCATTGGTTGAGTAAAGTTAGGCCAAGTAAAAAGCAATACAAAGTACAAATACATTCATATTTAACAATGGCACAGAAATACAAAAATTTCATGAAACAACCATGCAGATATGTATTAATACAGTGAAACAAAAGCATTTAAACACAGTTTATTTTTTTTAAAACAGGATATAGGCTATTCCCTTTGTTTTTTTTTTTTAAAAGAAAATTACCTATTTAAACTTTATTCAACTGAATGGCTTTTAAAATTGCTTCTATATACTGCTAAAAATAACAAGTCTTTCTACATCTGTTCTTCCAAAAATTCAAACTAATTTTCCTCCAAGAAATACTCTTAATGCTTAAATAAGTTTTAGATAAAGTCCAATGCCATTAATTAAAAAGTAAAAATTAATTTAATTAAACTCAGACTGCAAAACTCTTTTCTTCAATAGGTATGTGTTTTAAAATCGACTGATATATGATTTATTTAAATTTTGGGAGAAAATAGTCACCAAAGAATTGCCTAGTTTTCAGCCAGAATAGGGAAACTTTGGTTAAAAGTCAATATAATTTTCCTATGAAAATAACCAAAGGACTTACAAAACTGTTATGTTTGATTTTCAGGTGCAAACCAAAGCATGACATTACACATACTTGAGAAACAAAAACAAAAAAGAAGACTATACCATAATAGCAGCTAAAGCACCTAAGTAAAGCACTAAAGAAATTAGGCTTGCACAACTGTTACATTTTTTTAAAAAGTCCAAGATTCATGCAAATAAGCGCAAACCCTTTCTTTGCATCACATTAAACTTAACAATGTGCTTTTTTCTTCTTTCTTCAGATTGTTTATAAGTCTTTTGTAACAATTCTTTTCTTTCATTTGCTTGTTGGATTTTATAACAGGCAAATGACAATATAATATAATGAAGTTCCTCTGGACTGTATTTTTTTCCACTTAACTTCAGTAAACTTTTCCTATAATGCACAATGAAAGGGTTAGCGCAGCAATTTAAAAAGCCACCCTGCTGATATGTTTAGAAGCTATAAAAACATACCACTGGAGCCTAGAAATTCCACAGAGGAAATGGACCAGCACCTATAGAGGTGTAGGTGTTCTGCACAGAGGCCCAGAAAATAAGGTAAATCACTGTCAGAAGATACTTGTTTCACCATGTTTCTTGAACTAAAGATGAAGGGAGGGGTAAGTCCATGATATGTGTTAAAGATGGAAGTAACATGAAAGTTAAGGGAAATAAAAAGTGAAAGGAAGAGTCAAATGACAATTCAAAGGACAAATAAGACAACACAGCAATAAAAAAAGGAAAGAGAAATCTTAAAAACCCAAAAGAAATATTTGTAGAATTGAAAGGAAAGTATTTTATATGCATTAAGTTGCATGTGTGCCAAATCCACTTTTTAAAAAGCCTAAACCAAAGGAATATAAATTATTTTCTGTTAAATTTAACAAAAGTGTTTTTCATTTTTTAAAAATCTCCAGTTAAACAGATTTATCCTAGATAAAATTTCAAATACTGGCTTTAAACACATAAGCATTCAGTACAAAAACTATTGTCTTAAACCTGTAATGTCTCCTTAGAATTTTTGTGACTTCTGTTTTTCTTGTGACTTCTGTTTTTCTTCTAAGAGGTTCTTAGGCATGTGGTTTCTTTAGAAGCTGCAGCTGTATCAAATAAAGATCTTTTTCTTCAGAAAGTATCATTTAAATAGCTACAACGGAGGGAAAGCACATTAAGCTTTAGGGCTAAATTTTCACTTGCTGAGGATGAGATCTTCTTACTCCACCTTCAAGTATCAGTGCACTGTTATTTAGATGTGTTGTTAAACGATCCAGATGGGAGAAAATGACCATAAACTTATGTTGAATTCTTATTAGCTTCATAAAAACTTTTGTAAGAACTGACTTGAGATTTTGAAAGACTTATTTGCAGTTAAAAAGAAAAAGAAAAAAAGTTCCAGGATAAAAGTACCTTCATTCCAAATAAAAGCAAAAACCTATAAATTTTCTTTTAAATTCTGTGAACCTGAATTATTTAAAAATGATCAGTAAATATTCCCTTTTGCCCCACAAGATCAAACTCTAAGTAAGAAGTTGTAATACTACAACAATTATGTTTATAAATAATAGTCATAAAGCACTTTCCTATTCAGCCTCAAAATTTGAATTTAACTGAATTGGGTTTCTAGATTTTAACTTAGTCTTCTTCCTATCAGGAGTCCTCCAAATTTTAAGAAAAAGCAGTGGTACCAAAAGGAATTGGTTGCTTGATAGCAGCAAACCATATTGCCACATGAGAACAAAGAGAATGCCGGACAAACTTTTCAGAGTGTTCTAGACCAAGTTGGGTTTTGCTTTAGCCAAAGAGCCAGGGATACGTGATGTTACACAGTGAAATCTGCATCACCTGGTTCCCAAGAACTTTTCAAAGACACATCTCATTTGGCTATTTGACATGGGTGACTCTGTGTTTTTTTAAGTATCTCAATAAAACAACCATGTGATCAGAAAAGGAATTAGGAAGGAAAAAAACATTAAAATTATTAAAAATTAAGTACAAATTAAAGATTATTAATTGTATTTTAAAAAATTGTGTGGACTGACCACTTGAGAAATTATAAAAAAAATTTTCAAGTGTTAATTTAGTAGTAAACTCATCATCACTGTGGCCATTTAAAAGTTTGACGAATAATGTTAAATTATTGTCTGAATTACAGGTGAAAAGGGAGCTAGACAGTATCAATAATTTGGGTGAATAAGAAGTTGGAATTGTATGCCGATTGACATTAAGGACGGAGAAATGAATGATACTGTATACCCCACATTTTGAAATAAAAGAAAAATAAAAAAGGAGTGAAGCAGGGGAGTATCTTTTAAAATAAAAGCAAAACGTACCATTGGTTGGGTGTCGAGCAAATGAGATAGAAAACCTTTTAACAGCAGAACCGCGTGTGGCGTCTGAGAAAGAGAAAAACAGGTACCTGAAATTCGTAACAGCTACCAAAAGAACACTCAAAAAAAGGGAGAAAAACAAATATATGAGGAGGTTAGAAAGGTGACATGCAGAAGGGACAATGCGAGAAGGTAATAAGCCAAATACTGGTTAAAAGAAATAAACTAGCTTGATGACCGAGGCAAAGTGTTGAAGAAATATATAAGAAAGAAAAGCAGGATGAACTGGCAATTCTGGTAAATCCATGTTTTACTGACTAAAGTAAATTTGTTGGTATCTGAGAAAAGTTTTATTTATTTATTTATTTTGAGACAGTCTCACTCTGTTGCCCAGGCTAGAGTGCTGTGGTGTCAGCCTAGCTCACAGCAACCTCAAACTCCTGGGCTCAAGGAATCCTACTGCTTCAGCCTCCCGAGTAGCTGGGACTACAGGCATATGCCACGATGCCCAGCTAATTTTTTCTCTATATATTTTTAGTTGTCCAGCTATCTTTTTAGTAGAGACGGGGTCTCACTCTTGCTTAGGCTGGTCTCGAACTCCTGAGCTCAGACGATCTGCCCACCTTGGCCTCTCAGAGTGCTAGGATTACAGGCGTGAGCCACTGTGCCTGGCTGAGAAAAGTTTTAAATAAAACTGATCCTGAAAGAGCTAACAGCACTCTTTTTAACAAAAGGGACAAGCTTCCATGAAACTCAAAAAGCATTGTGATCTCAACTCCTGACCTTGAGCGAGCCACCCACCTTGGCCTCCTAGCGTGCTAGGATTACAGGTGTGAGCCACTGTGCCCTGCCTCAAAAAAGCATTCTGAATATTAAAACTTAAGGTATATTAACGACATTAAGAGGATCTCCTTCAGCTGGGGATCCTAAAATATTCTCACCCTATATTTTTATAAAAATCTTGCCAATATATTTTCCTCTACTTATAAACATTCCATTCACTTTATTTTAATTAACTCAGTATCAATAACTAAAAAAAGGGTTAACAATGAACAAAAGTTTAAAAGATCAAAGAAAAATTTATGAACTATCAATTATCTAAAAGAAGAATACATATGCTGTAGTTCTAAATTTTCCATTTCAACAAACTACTTATTGTACAAGTACTGTAAGTCTAACTACCATTAACTGTCTGATGAAACATGGATCTCAAGTGGTAGATAACAGAGAGCACTGGTAGTCATTTAGGCAAAGGATGCTAGGATTCTACTTGAATCAGTCAGTGGTCTTAGACTTGCCTTTGAGAAATACTGCTCATGGGTGTGTGCATGGGTGTAGGTATGAATCTGTGTGTGCATGGGTGCACATACCATCTATGCAGCCAGAAGAGGTCAGCTTTTTACGATGAGTACGAGCATAATCCTGTAGGTTAGGTGCGCTTGAAGAACCCCCGAGCACCGAGGTGCTAAACAGGCCCGCACAGTGAGACCCTGATGGGAGTTAGAGAAAATACATACACAACGGGTGTTCTTCCATTCACATGGGGAATTCATGCAGCATGCAATTAAATGGCTCTTACCACACATAAGGCAGCCTTTGAAAGTGCCTTGCACAGGCTCACAATATGCTTGTAATGTCCTGGTGATGTCAATTTTAATACAATACTTCTAATCACTACCATTTATCATATGTACAAATGGGGTAATTTAACACTGGGCAAAGTGTTATCTTTCACGAAAAATTATATGTCTATACAATAATTAGATGAATACATCCTAAGTATTAAAAACATTACTGTAAAAATTAATTTAGGACAAGAAGGGACTCTGTTAATCACTTTGCAAGAGCAGGCCATATAAAAAACCTCTCCTAGCACAAATTTGGTCATATTAAATCAGTATTTTTAATGGATATCTATAAATGACAAATTTTTCCTGAAACCCCTGAATTAAGAAGTACTCATCTTTCTTATGAAATAAACTACAACAAAACTTATCTGTGAGAAGACCAAGTCCTTTCTGGTCATTCACTTTAAATTTCTAATACTTAACAAATGACTTAAGATCTTAATTAATAAGACCCCCAATGAAATACATTATGAGCAAATAAAATAGCCAGTATAAATCGATGCTTAATTTGTAGCAAAAGTCTTTATATTCAAGCAAAACTTTCACCACTAGGGAAGGATTAAATAAATTTCTATCAAACATACTATGATACATCAATAAGAAGGGATAATATATAAATTCCTATAAAGATACTGTGGGAATATTAAAAGCTATCATTACAAACTATATGTAATTAACTAAAGAAAGATCAAGTATGTAGGCATCAACACAGTTCATATACCTAGTATAGAGATCACAGTGCATACATAGTTATGAAATCTATTTATGCTTTTATTAAATCTATTAAGACAACTATTTACAAAAAATAATATGCCATTACTTCATACAGTTTATCAACCATGAGCTTAAAACCAAATGAGTTTAGAAAGGTCTTTTCCAATGTTGCTTTTAGTATTAGCAAAAAATCAATTATGTTCTCTATAGGTCAATAAAAAGTAAGACCGCCACTGTGCATTAGTTTTGCTTTGGTTTTCTTCAAGAGTTGCTCAAAAAGAAAATTAATATACCCATACAGGGTTTGAATACTCCCCACTTTAAAAATCTTTTTAATCAGAAAAATAGAAAGTTCTTTTTTGCATACAATAGCATCTTTTATCTTTATCAAGTGGGAAAATAAAGTTTCCTTCATAAATTAACTTATAGAGTACAAGATTAAAAACCAGCATTGGCAAGTGGACTAAGAGGTTACCACTATGGGCATTCAAAAGGGTTACATAACAAAATTAAATGTTATTTCTTATTCAGTTTATCAAAACTTAATTTGGAGTTGTACAACTCAACATTTCTGAACTAGTGCACATTAAATAAAAACTAAAGCATAGCATTTGGTCATGCTTTCACCACTTAAGAGTTTTACATGTGTGCACAATAATGAATTTAAGAAATATATAGACTACGATTTCCTTTACACCACATACCTACAGTAGGATTCTGCTTCTGTTCCACAAGAGTTCTTGCTGTTCGCAGGTAATTAGCATTTTCAGATACGACCTGCATAGGGAAACCAAAATAAATGAAGTAAAACAGTAAAATAAATTCAACGTCCATACTTCATATGCAGCCTGTTCCAGACAGACAAAGGTTAATAAGCTGTATGATAAATATTAGTAGAAACACATAAACATGAAAGATCATGCAAGATCCCCTTCTGAAGGGAGGCCATTTCATATGAGGTCCTTGCAATGAAGTGGTGCGAAGCAGGCATTCAGAATGAAACATCATGTATGAAACAAGACAGATGAAAAGAAACAATTAATAGATTGATATAATTTCACTCTTAAAAGAAGCCAAATGCCCACTCTTAAACAGCTCCTGTATTTGAAGGGGGAAAAAACAACCACAAACAAAAGAAAAGACAGACAGAGACTGTTGAGGTCACCACACAATTACTGTTCCATGCATGGGCTTTATCAGAGTAATCTTTAAATATTCACAGCCTTAATGGATACCATAATCCCTTTTCCTATAATCAAATGCATTATATTTCCAAAAGGAAATTGCTGAAATTATTAGAAAAGTCATGTGTGACAGCAGACCTTCCATTATAATAAAAATCACAGTATTTTAAGTTTCCAAATGTCATCACAGAAAGTCCTTCTGAAGTCATTTTATTTTGATCCATACTGTTGATGGGCACATACTCACTTTCCCCCTCTTATCTTAAAGAGAACTTTAAAATATTATACAGCTCAAAGGAATCATACTGTATGTATTCCTTAAATTAGATACTTCCAGATAATATTAATAGAATAATGAGGGAGAGAACCACCAATATGAGATGTATCCTGTTAATTAACAGTGGGCCACATAAATTTTGATATTTTAAATAATGTTTATATTCTCAGCAAATTCCAAATGGAATCTAATTTTTCAATTGTGGGGGAAAAGTTACTAAATTTTCTTACCATAATATTACATAATTTTGTTTCTGAAAGTTTTCAAGAACAATTAAGTCAAAGAAAGATTTCTTTCCTTTTTAAACAATTTTATTAACAAGCTAAATTTCCAGGAGAAGAAAATAATCATTTTTAAAATCCTGGATATTTAAAACCTTCTCAGTAAAAATGCTAAACACATGCAATGTCAGTGGTTTCTTTCCCTCAAATATTGTCAGATATCGTCAGTATTTTTAAATGAACTCAAAATTAAAAAACAGAAGGATTTACTCTGATGTGAAATATAAGGGATTAGATGTCCTCAAAGACAGTTGTTTGTTGCTCTGAATGCAGGGAGGAAAAATGTTTAATGAAGTAAAGTTTAAAAACCTGTTGCCATGAGCCAAAAATACTGGATGTGAAAGCCAATGATTTGGGGGAGACAGGGGAAGAAGTGATTTGTTCCCCTGATCTGCGTCTTCGACGCCCAGTACCCACACCACTGGTATAATGCAGCCAGGTACCAGTACCCTCTGGGCTAGACACACTCAGGGGGCTCTCTTCCTGGAAGTGAGAAAGGGGGCAAAAAAAAAAAAAAAAAAAAAAGCAGAGCATGCAAAGTTAGATACAACAGAGCCAAATGACCAGAAAGAAAAAAAAATACAGTTTGTTCGTATTTGCTTGTCAATTTTTTAAAAACTATTAAACAGCAATTTGGGAGCCAAATATTTCAATATTTGAGAATTTGATAGGAATGACTTATAAATCTAATTGCATGTGAAAAGAATTATAGAAATATCTTATTACCTTAAAACACATAAATATTTATACTGCTTAATAGTTGTCCCTTCCCTCTTAAAACTGGAAAGATATTAGTTAAGTTTCTTTTTTAGCAATTTTTAAAATATTAAAGTATTCTGCTTAATTTTAGATATTAAAGAGATTTAATGCTATTTTGGATGAACTTTTCAACCCAAAGCACTGAAGAATCGTGCAAAGGGTTAAAGAGATTTCAATGTATATAACTTAGAAAAGAAAATCTGTCGGACATTAAAAAAAAAAAAATCCAAGATCTTAAAATGGATTCAAGTTGTATTTGTTTACACTTTCAAGCTATCTATTTGTTTATCCCCTCCAGAGATTATTTACAGAGTTTGGTAGGCAAAACATGCAGCAAACATTCTCATTTTATGTTTGCATGTTCAGGTTTCAGACAGTGAGGACAGAGCAAAATCTACTTGCACAAAATGAAGAGAATAGTCTTTTTCTCTGTGTGTCTTTTGGAAGTACAAACTTCTGATATCCATGGAGATGATGGACGCTGGAAAAAGTCGTCAGAGTTTTACTTGAATAATTTACCTTATGGAAGTAAAAGTTTAGCATGGCATAGAAATAATTTCTTGAAATCAACTGTTTAAGTATTTATGAGAAAAAGGTTTACATATGTGTTCTGTGTTTTAAAAGTTAACAAGGGCAGCGATTTTGTTGAAGGTTTTACAAATATAGATGAGTTACAAAATGGAGACAATAATACATTTTTCTGTATCAGTGTTATTTATATAGGCTTTTTGGAAGGCAGAGAAGAGAGGGTAGTGGTGAAATTCTGAACACTTTGATTAACTGTAGACTGACTACTTATTCCACCACACATCAAAATCACTGCCCTCACACAAACAGTAGTTTAAGTTATATTAATATAGGTTATTTTCTGACTTTCTGAAGTTAAGGATACCTGAACATAACTTCAGATTTCTCATTTTTCAATTAAACTATAATAGAATAATCCTAAATTCTATGATCGTTAACCACCCTCTTTTTCTTTTAAGCACCTCTTATAATTAATTTAAAATATCGCATTCAAGAGAACCTTAACTAGCATATAATTTCCATTATAAAGTTATAAAAATCTACTTTATTGACAGATGTTTTTCTATACAAAATTGCCAAACTGGAACACATGTATGTTTGAAATTTGAGACTCATAAACCACTTACGTTTGTATAATTTCGGGCTGTAGAAACAAGCAAAATTCCTTTTGTTTTTGTTGTTTATATTTTCACCCATCAACTGCTAAATAATATTATACCTCATTCTTTAGACTTGGTTTAGTTAAGCAAAAAAATCTTTTTCTAACTTAAAAGTTGATGGTTATTTCTATCTTAAAGTTAATTTCTTGCTTTATATTTTTACCAGAGCATTTAGAAAACATTTATAAGCACTGACCTCAATCAGTGCTAGAAGACTCATCATATAGAATGTAAAGATGACCCAAAATAAAAGTTATTTAAAAAGTATAAAAATGTATACAGATGTTAAAGCTTTACTTAAGCTTCATTCTAATTGCTCAACTGTCCTTTTAAATGTTTTTTTAGTAGTTACTCAAATATTCTATTAGTGAGCATAAGAATTAGTCTAACCTATTTATTTATAGATCTTTACAAAGGTAAATTTTTCAATTATATCATCAAATTTTCAAATTTCTATACAGACTCTGCAATCAAGCTAACAATTTAGAATTTCACTTCTTAATCAAAAGTGTCATTGGAATCAGTTATTGCTAAAGCATCTCTGGCAATCCCTCTCTACTTTTAACCAAAAATTATTCCTGATTCATTAAATCAGACTTTTTAAAAAGTTTTTCGCTGAAGAATAACCTGAGAATAACCAGCTTATAAAGTTCTTAGAAAGGCCTTATTATTTCCTGACTGCCTCTATATTTTTGGAAATTTATTTGAAAAATGGACAAAATTGACAAAAAAAATTTGTTAGGTTCCCAAGTTCCATAATTAAAGCTGTATTTTCTTTTCTGTTTTACTAAAATATAGTTAGTTTGCTTTATGAAAAACATGTTCTGACATATATACTTACTTCATTTGTAGTCATCTTCCTAGATCTTGGAAGTGGAGACTTCCTGTGTATATGAATTGGCTCTGATACCATTGGTTTAAACAATATTACAGCTCGATCGACCTCATCTTTTTTAGAAGTATGTGGTTCGTCGTCATTATCAATTTTAAAAGATCTCCTGCCTTCATTCTGTGTGCAAAGAATATAACATACTTTTAAAATTCAGATTAAAAACATCTCTTCTGATGAACAAATTCAAACCACCACTGGTATAGTCACTTGAAGTACATATAAAAGTTTGTTTACTCAAATGAATTAATATTAATTGAACTCTTATAACAGCCTAGTATTATGTGAGTACTGTGAGAGAAATGACAGTCTCTGATTTCATAAAATACCTACACTCTATGGAGAAATTAAACAGTAAAATGACAATTAAAGATCAAATAAAACAAAGTGTTTAGTTGAATTTGATCAAATGCACAAGTAGATAATAATAAATGACAGTTAGAAAGAGGTCAGTTTTGTTATACAGAAATGTCACCAACATGAGCACGAACTAAAACAAAATTTGAATTTATAAATTTTAGAATATTTAAATCTTTTCCAAATATTTCCAGTAAGTGTGATGATTGCGTAAAAAATAACAATCATTCGATGACCCACTAAATATTTACTGAGTATGTACCATGTGCCAGGAACTATTAGGACACAGATGAATAAAATACAGTCCCAGATTGGGAGAATCTCACACAGACAAGTTAAAAAATTTCTATCTGTAATAGAATGGATAAATTGGGCCATAGTCATACAGTAAAACGTATTTTAAAGCAGTAAGAATGGACAAACTAAAACTAAATGCAACTACATTGATGAATCTTATAAATATAATATTAACCAAAAGAAGCCAAGCTGAGTATATAAAAACCCTCATCAAACTAAGGGCTACAGAGAATAAGAAAGAAGTTCTTTGACTAGGTATGGGATATCTAAAACTTCAAACAATCATCATAGTTTTTAATAAAACATTGAGTGTCCACTATCACTAAATTTATTCATTTTACTAGACATCTGTCATCATTAATGGATGATATGATCATATACATAGAAAATCCAAATGACTCTATGAGTAAATTATTAGAATAACAGTACATAGCAAGTTTGCTAGTTATCATATACAATCTTTATACAAAAATGAGTTAAGGCCAGGTGCGGAAGCTCATGCCTGCAATCCTAGCACTATGGGAGGCCATGGTGGGAGGATTACTTGAGGCCAGGAGGCTGAGACCAGCCTGAGCAAGACCCTGTCTCTATGAAAAATAGAAAAATTAGCCAGGCATGGTGGCATGCACCTGTAGTCCCAGCTACTTGGAAGGCTGAGGCAGGAGGTTCACTTGAGCCCAGGAGTTTGAGCTTGCAGTGAGCTATGATGATGCCATGCCACTGCACTCTAGGCCCAGATAACAGAGTTAGACCCTGTCTCAAAAAAAAAAAAAAAAAAAATTAAAATTCAATATGATACTATTGTACCAGATAGATAGTACCAAACAGAAATGGTAATTTAAATAAACCATTTTTTATAGCATCAAAAACTATAAAAAAAAATCTAGGAAATAATCTGACAAAAAAGCTATAAGACTTAATTAAAAAAATCATAATTTTAATCAAAAAATAAAAAGTATAGCTAAATAAATTCAGAAATATATCAACTCCTTAGACTAGAAAACCCAATATTGCAGAAGTGTCATTGTTCACAAAATTGATCTGCAGAATATAATCCCAATCAAAATCCCAAAAAGTTCTTTTCAGAACATTATAAGATAATCATAAAATGTATACAGAAATGCAAGAAACCTGAAATATTCAATGTAATCTTGAAGAAAAACAAAGCTGGAGGAAAGAGACAAAGAGAGCAACAGAGCAATACTAACAGTTTAGAAACCAACCCACAATATATGTCTTCAATATCAGAAGTAGTACTGCAGGCAGTAAGGAAAGGATGAACAGTTGAATATATCGTTCTGGGACTAGTTACCCATAAAGGGAAAAAAACAAAACTGGACTGCATGCACATCACACATACTGTATGTAAAAAAGTCAGTTTCAGTGAATTAAAGAAATAAGGAAAGAAAATGATGCCAGATGAAAGAAGAATTGCAGGAAGGAATAAGAAACAATGGGAATGGAAAATATGTAGGTAGATTTAAATTGACTTATAAGACATGCTCTAACACATATAGCTATTTCCTTAAGAAAATACGCACATACATTCTAATAGGCCAATATTTTAACACAATATTCTAAAATATTCAAATATTCCAAGTCTAAATGAATAATAATGACCTGTGGGATTTAAAATATATTTTCTAAAATATATATACTTAAAATACATGACAAAAATAACATAAAAGGTGGAAAAGAAAGTAAGAAAATCATTAAGATGTTTTAAGATGCTTACATTTTCTAGTTAATAGAAGTGTTAATTTATATTAGCATTTAACAAGTCAGGAATTCATGTCATTAGCCCGAGGGTAACCAACCATTCAAAGAAGAGTAAAAGAATGGAAAATTACCAGGTATCCTATTGAAGGGGGAAAATACTTAACACGAAAGGCAGCAAGAAGCGAGAAAAAGGACTATAAAACAGGTAGGGCAAACAGAGAACAAATAGTAGAATAGTTTAAGATGATACAATAAATCTCAAATATATTAATAACAGATTCTACGAGAGAAGTATTAATACATTACTAGCCACTAGATGTAATGAATTAACTTCTCTCCTATACATCTAGAATGGTATTAGGTACCATCCTTGGGACAACTGACAATACAGTCACTCAAACTATTCTATATTGCGTGGTTCAGATGAAGAACCTGTGAAAGGCTAATAACACTTAAAGGGAAGAAACATGATTAGAAATAAGAGGATACTCTTTACAATGAGAAAAGGATTAATCTACCAGGAAGACAGATCAAAATACCATTAGAAATATACACATACAAACTGAAGCTCAATATCAGCTAAGAAGCAAAAACCCTAATATATAGCACAGGTTTTTTTACTAATATATACCGGTACTTCCTGGGCAAATCCTAGGAATAAGGATAAATTAGAAATAGATCAGCTTTTCCAGTGATTAAAAACCCATTTTGAATCACCATAATCACTACCTGAATTAAGATGATCTAGGATTACTACTTCTCTTACAGTTCCCCTAGACTAGCTCCCCATCAAAAGCAAAAGTAAATCCTACTGGAAGAATACTGTATCAACCACAACTTCAAATTATCTCTGCAGTTTTTAATATTCAATGTCCAATATTCCATCAATAATAGCCTGGAGTATAAGAAAATATCAAAAATCAAGAGAAAAAAACAAGATGATCCACTGGTGATCCAGATAATGATGTCACCAGCTACAAACTTTGTAATACCTGAAATTAACATGTTCACATAATTAAAAGTGAAACTAAAAATTTCACTTAAGAAAGAACTAGAAATTATAAAAAGAACCAAACAGGAATTCTAGAGCTGAAAAACATAGTAATTAACCCTACTTATTATGTTCTAAAATTAAAAACTTGACGGGTAAGGTTTAACAGCAGATTAAAAATAACTAAAGACAGAGTTAGTGAACTGGAAGAGAGATACAAAGTAAATATTGTGCCTTGAAGCTTAGAGAGAAAAAAAGATAAAAAATACAGACAAGAGTATAAGAAATACATGGCCAAAGAGTTTAAGATACATGGTAAGTAAGCCTAATACATGTGTAACTTAAATCTCAGAAAGAGAGGAGAGAATGCTTATAGAGTAATTATTTAAACAGATAATGCCTGCAAATGTTCCAAAAAACAACGAAAGACATCAAATCACATGTACAGGAAACACCATCAAGCCTAAGCAGGCATATCAAAATAAAACTGCTGAAAATGAAAGAATCAGATAATGTTGAAAGCCTCTTCAAGAAGGAAAAAGAATTTAAAAAGAGAGCAAAAGAAACACATAAAAGATGAAAAAATACAATACAAATAATAAGGTGGTGCAATTAATCTAAATACATCAGTAATTACATTGAATGATTAAATTTGCCAAGTCAAAGGCCAAGATTATTATAAATATAAATTAAAACACAAAACCTAAATATATGCTGCTTACAAGTCACACATCATAAATGCAAGAATACAGAAAGGTTAAAAGTGTAAAATAATTAAAAAAAAAAAAAAGACATCAAGAAAAAGCTAAACCAAAACAAAGCTGGTGTAGCTATAATACCAAAGTGGACTATAAGGCGAGCATTTTCTAGGCAGAAACAGGGACATTTCATAATGAGAAAAATGTATAAGGAAAATACGAAAATTCCAAATTTGTATGCATAGCTTCAAAATGTGAATCAAAAATTCTCAAAACTGTAAGAGACAACAGAATCACAGTGGAATATTTTCACACATCATTTTAAGTAATTGACAGAGCAAGAAGACCAAAAAATCTTTTAAGGATACAGAAAATTTGAACAATACTATTAATAAATTTTATCTGACTTATATTGAACACTTGTACTGAATAAAGGACAAGAGAAAATACATACTTTTCAAGTGTATATGTGGCATTTATCAAAAATTAACCATATGCAGGCCCATAAGGCAGTTCCCAATATATTTCAAAGCAAAGAAATCATACCAAGTATATTCTCTGACAAAAGTGAAATTAAGCTAGAAGCATCTGATAATAAAAGCTTATATGTAAAATTTCCATATGTTTGCAAATTAAAGAATCTCTAAACTCATGAATCAAACAAAAATTACATAGAAATCATAAAGGATCTTGAACTGAATGATAAAACATACTTGTGTGCTGCAGCTGAAACCATGCTTAGAGGGAAATTTATAGCTCCAAATGCAAATATTAGAAAAACAAAACTTGAAAATACATAATCTGAGTAGCCACCAAAATAAGTTAGAGTTATGTCAATAAAACAAATCCAAGGAAAGTAGAAGTAAGGAAATAGAAACATAACATGAGAGGTTAATGAAATTAAAAGACATATGCACAATAGAGATAATCAACAAGGGAAATTGTTGGTTCTTTGAAAAGACTAAGAAATCATAAATCCTTGCCAGTACTCAAGAAAAAAATGAGAAAAAGCACACAACAAACTTACCATTATGGAAAAAGGGACATTACAGATCTTATAGACAATAAAAAGATAATATAAAGATATTATGAACTATATTCCCTAAATTTGAAAATTTAGATAAAAGAAAAGCATGACTTACCAAATGGATATAAAAAGAGAAAAATTGAATGGTACTGTATCAATTAAAGAAATTGAATCTATAATTTAAAATATTCTCATAAAGAAAACTCCACATACGATGACTACCAAACAATAAATTTTAACAAATACATCAGGGAGAAATAACACTGATCTTATACAAAACCTTCCAAAGACAGAATTTAATCCTTACTACTGTAAGGATTAAAATGCAATAATTCTTGCCAAGTGCTTAGCATGGAACAGTCTTCAAGTAAAACAACAACAAAAAAAACAAAACAAAAACTATAGTTACGCATTCTAAACACTGGGCTTAAAATCCAAACAATCTAAATAAAAGATAAAATTCATAAGTATGCTAATATGCCTAAAAATGCTGTCTACCCAAATCATACTTAAAAAAATTGTAAGCCATTTTGCTACTTACTAGTTGAAAGAAGAATTATGTAGTACATAATAAAAACTCCTATAGAAACCCCATAAAAGTCTAGAACGAAAGTAAGCAAGCACTGAAAGTTCTATCTTCATTACCTCTCTGGAAGCTGGTCTATATCCATAACCAGATGGTAAATTTTTGTCTTCTTCACAGCCTTTGGCTCCCGGACTAAAGTGTAATTCAACATGAAAGCGTTCCTCTGAGGAAAGATCCTAAAAAATATGACAGATTTTTAAAATGAGAAACTTCAAGCTATTTATTTCTGGAACCACACAAATCAAGAGCTCTGTTTACCTTGTTAGGATCCTCATAAAGCATGATAACAATCTGAGTCATGTAGTTGAGTTCATTGACCACGTTTAAATAATCCATGGCTCGTTTCCACTGTTCATCCTTTGATTCCTGAACAAAAGGTATATAGGGCAAGCATTTTCTCATACTGCATTACTTGAAAATCACTTTATTGTCACTATGGTAGCTTATTTCATCCTGAGTGATATCACACAAATAAGGTGAATACTTACATGTACAATCTTTCAAATAATTCCATTACATATAAAAGTCTTAATAAGTTACCTAAGTTTGTTTAAGTAAATTGTTAATATTTACCAGTACTCTTACCTGTAGTACAGGTTTGAGTATCCCTAATGAGAAAATCCAAAATCGAAAATGCTCCAAAGTCCAAAACTTTTTGAGCACCTAATTGGGTTTTTGGATTAGGGATGCTACACTGATAAGTATAATGCAAATATTACAAAATCTGAAACACTTCTGGTCCCAAGCATTTTGGATAAATGATATTCATCTTCATTCGAAACTCTAGTAACTTTAAAAAAAAAAAAAACAGCTTATACAAAGTAAAAAATAAAGACTCTCTTGAAATATTATACCCATTACTAAATTCTGAGGGTAAGGGACAGGTTTTAACCTTATAAGTCCCAAAGTACCTAATATAGTATCATGGTTCATAACCATAGAATATTATAAGAGTAGTGCTATTTTGTTCCCACCATCAGATACATGTCTATCTATGGTGATACTCAAAATATCACAGCACGAGGTGACATACATAAATTCTATTGATCTTACCATCTACTTCAGCATTCCTTCATCTTCATTTAGAGAATCATTGGTCTTTATACATGTAATGGTAGAGAATTAGAACTGAAAGGAATCTTAGAGAGTATGTACTACAAAAGCATTCAAAGTAGAATATTCTACCTGAAAAGGTAAAACTACTCAAAGTACCAAGTCTATAGTAAATAGTCAACAGGGTCTATTTAGACCATATGTACTACACAGATAAATTTCCTTCATTGCATACATGTAATAAACATTACAAATGCATAAAAGCACTCAGCACCTTTTTGTATACAGTAATAGTATACAATATTTTGGATTTTGATATTGAATGTGCCTTGTTTTAAAAAATAAATTATAAGACCACGTACTGACTATATACTTTTTTAAAAAATTCAGCATATATTTCCTTTTATTTTAGACATATATTCCTAAACTAAGCAATACTCTAGTAAAAAGTGTGTGTGCGTGTGTGTGTGTTTAGGAGGTGACATGTGCAAAGATGTGTAGTTTTTCAAAGTTGATAAGGGAAAACATAAATTAGCTTAGCATTATTGAGTTTCGCTAAATATAAATTACTGTAAATGAGTTTAAATGAAATACTGAAAATTTTCATTAGGTGAATAGATCAATTAGACTTTGTGATACTACATTATTAAGAACATCACCTAATATCCAATGCAGTGGTACAGTTAGATTTTGCTAGGTCTGCTCTAATGAATAATATTAAACAATATTTAGCAGTAACTTGTAAAACGTAATTAAGAAGCCTCAAAACACTTTTTAAAATTAAGGCCCATTACACATATTCCCTGAAATCATTTTTATAATCTTATTTCCTTAACAAACCTTAAAAAACATCTATTACAGAAAGGTAGATTTTATCCAGTTTATTTGGAATAATCTAAAATTACAATTGGGAATACACCAAACATGGTCTTAAGTATATTACTTCCAGATTCTTAGTAAGAGTTGGAATAATGAAAACAAGACATCATTTCGGTATAGATTTTAAATTTCACTTTAGTAAATACATATAATTTTTTTCTCACCTGAAAGCATAGATTTTTTAAAAGAATGGAATTGTTTATTTTGTTTTAGAAATGCAGCCTGAATTCAATATATGCCCAATAAGCTCTAGCTCCACTGCTACCACCCTAGTCCAAATGATATCATCTTTCTTTAGACCACTGTTTTTCTAACTAGTTTTCCCATACCCACTCTCACCTATTGTCCACATGACAACAAAAGCCACTCATTTCCCTGCTTAAAACCTTTCAATGGCTTCCCAATCCCCTTATAAGGCACTGGCTCTTCAACCAGATCTGTTGCCATTTTATCCATCACTCACTACTATGCTCCAACCACAGGCTTTCTATTGGTTCCTATAGTCCTCAGGTTCTTTCTACTTTCTATCTACATGCAAGAAGGTCAAAAAGAGGACCACGTAAGAGATGTATCTCTTCTCCTCAAAAACAATCCCATCATTACTACTGGATATACAAGCTCTTGCTTTGCTAATTAAAGGTCGTTTTTTTCATTCACTGTATCTTTTATTAAAGCTCCATGAATCCACGTTTATATGCAACAATGTCACTTTGCTATTCCTTAATGGGACAAAGAAGAAACCAAAACAAGAAGAAAAAACACAGGGATTTGAAATTTTGATTGAAACAAAACATTTAATAGCCTTAAGGTTACTTTGGTAATAATACCAAGGCCTGATAATAAGATAGACCAGGAAACAAGAGACATATCGTATCATCATTATACATCTCAATGCCCTTTATTTTAAAAGTACATAAGAAAAAAAATTGATTTTCTTTTAAAGATCACTTTGTATACAGATGTACACAGGTGGGTATATTAATAGATACATAGAAAAACAAAGGAAAATTCTTATCTTTTTGCTAGTTTAGACATAGCTGATTTAGATGAGATCCCAGACTTCAAATTTATGCTGTAACAGGATAAGACTGGAAGGGATGGCACTGGGGGAGAAATGAAGTGAGTTTGCATGTGGGAGGAATATGAATTATTGTGGCCAATGGGCATTATTGTGGCAGATTATATTTTCCAAAGATGGCTACTACATATATTCAATCCTACATATTCTTCTTATAATGTGACAGTGATGTGGGTTATTTCCCCGCCCTTTGAACCTGAATAGATCTCTGTGACTGCTTCAATCAACAGAGCTCAACAGAAGTGATGCTGTATGACTTAGAAGTTAGGTCATAAAAATGCCATGTACTTGCACCTTGCTTACTTAGGAAGCTCACTCTTAGAACCCAGCTGCATTATTTTGAGGAAGCAGGTCAAAGGAAGAGGCTGCATGTAGGTGTTGTGGCTGACAAGTGCAGCTGAGGTCCTGGCTGACAGCCAACATGAAACACCAGATGTGAGAGGAACCTTTGAGACGATTCAAGTCCCAGCTATTGTCTGATTGCAACCTAATAGAAACCCTAAGTGAAACTGCCCAGTTGATCCAAGTCAACCCTCTGAACTGTGAGTGATAAAAATGAAATGACTGTGGTTGTTTTAAGCCACTAAGTCTTGGTATGTCATTACATAACAGGAGATAAGAGGCACACTGTCTAACCAAATAAGTCCTGTCAATTCTGATCCCCAAATGACTCAAATTCATTAGCTTCTTTTTATTCCACTGCCACCAGTCTACAACATCACCTAAAATATCCCACGTTATTGTTTGCTTAAATGGGTCTTCTCTGAAGGAAAGAGAACATGTTTTTATCCTCAAAATCTAGCCAAGTGCTTAGTATATAGCAGACCCTTAAGAAATGATAACAAATAGTAAAAATTAATGATGAATTACCACAATTTTACAGTAAAAATAGCTGAGTTAGTGATTTGATTACAAATTCAAGGAAACATATTTGTTAGATTGAAATAACATTCTACTTACATTGCATAAGGCACCATAACGAAGAATAGATAGTAAAGAATGTACATGACTTTCACTGGTAAAATATAATCTAGTACGGACATGACGTTCAGGAGACAGAACACCCCTGGAATACCTAAAGTTATTAACAGACAGTGTTAAAACATAACCATAAAATCAAAAACTTATTAAGTACTGAAATTATTTTGTAAAATTGAATTTAACCTTGCTAGAAGTAAAAGACCATAAGTAAATCTATCATTCTTCCAACCACAATTGAGGAGTTATATCTTAGTAGATATTCTTCTAATATGAAACTAACTGGAACTAACTAGGACCTCTGAAGAGTAAAGAGACTTAATATTAGTCAAGTTCACTGTAAATAAGTCATTTTAGTTCCTCTAGTAGCAATGACAGAGGTAAAAGTCCTAAGGAAGCTCACAGACATTAATGCTGCTGAATGGAGTACACATTGATGATGTCACGTGAATGATGAGACACACTCCCTATTCCCCATTCACCCCAGTTTTCTCTAAATTGAAGCCAAATAAGAACTCTGGCTGGAAATTAATTAATAGGAATACCTAGGTAACCATATTTCCACAGTGTGCCAATGATACACTCCTGAATCCTTCAAAGGAACATCAAAAAGTAATTTAGATTTGAAGTATGCAAAAACAGATGCCTAGAGGTTTAAATAACCAGCATAGTTTCTTACACAGGATGGAGTTTATTTACAGTGTCATCATCTTGTGTCCTCTGTAGGTCTGAGCGAATTTTTCTAACTAGAGGAGTACAGTAGCCTTTGGCAATCTCCAGTTTTTCAGCTTTAGTTATACCATATTCCTGAACAGAAAATACATGATATTAGAAAAAGGGTATAATGACAAATATCGCTAACAAATACACTCCTGAATTAAAAAATTCCAGTGAGACAAATATTTTATCAAGCCTTTTTTGACATTAGACAACTCCAAGTTTGCATTTTTTTTGCAATTGTAAATGCACTGTAATACTGAGAACTGCTGAACTTGAAGAATTACTTTAAGAGATACAAATGATGGATCAAATCTTCTATAGCCATGCTAATCATTAGTGCTTCTTCTAATTATGATATTTTAAAAAATTCATTGTAAATATTTAGCTACTAGGACATAGTGAGAAATTTCTTCACCCACTAAAGAATATACCTGAAATACATACACTGTGTAAGGAGGAGAAATTCGAAATTATCATCTAAAATCCCATTTTAACACTTGAGTTTTCTTTTGGGCCCAACTCTTAGAAAACAACTTTTCATTCAATTCTAAAATGTTTACTATATATAACAGAATACATAGAGGGGTGAGAGTAATAAGCCATGTATTGGCACAGAAATGATAATGGTAAACAATGAGACAAAACATTGTGCATTTATTTAGCTACTGAATAGTGGATACATTTAGATATATTGAAAGCCTACCTTGAAAAATGCATATAGCCCCCATAAATATTTAAAATAATTTTGTATTTCCAGCTAATTGTTAAAAAGTATACTTTTAAATAATTTGCATTGTAAGAATAAGTACAACTAAGACGTTGAGCCTGGACTACTATCAAAGCAGTCCACATTAATGAACAAAATCAGAGTCTTATTTATGCTTCCAATGCATAATTAGTTGTTTACCTGAATTAACAGTAATCATTCCTCTTGGAATCTTTAATAGGAAAACTTTGAATTTTCTATCTTGAATTTCATAAAGATAGATGCTGACTCAATAACTTTACTTAATGAATTAAATAGAATCAAGTCAGCAGTAGCATGATGATTATCAACCTAAACCCATACTTAAAACTGAGTCCTGCAGAATTGTGTATTCACTTTGACGGTAATCTTCAAACATCTTTTGTTATAAAAGTAAAACCTTTAGTTTTTAAAATAAAACTTCTCTTGTACAGAAAAAAACTTGTCTTTTTCATTTGGTAAATGAAAGAAATTGTCAGAGAATGAATGAATCTTGTTTCTATGTTTCTTAAAGTAGGGGCCAAAGACATATTCTTGAAGTATGAGATATTTTTATTCTCTTTTAAAAAGAATTTATGTTTGCACATCACCTGATTCATACAATATACCTTAAACTACCTATATTATACATCTGATCAAACGAATATATAGTCCTCTTTCATGCTGAAGAAATAAACTAATCTTTAACATGTACACAAATACCTATAGGTAAGTTGCATACTGTCTGAATTCCCAGTTTTTCAAAATCTGTAGTTTTTCCTGGACTGTCTATGAATAATAGGAAAGAAACACCAGCATCATTTTAACCATTTTCATACATGGGCATTTATAAGTGAGACTATTTAAACTTCTGTTCATAATAATTATGCTTTTCATGTATTTCATGTTTTCCTGCTTCTTAACTTCATTTAGTTCACAGCTGGAATATCTGATCTACCCAACATCCCCTTTCCAATATCCAAGTCATATTTTAGTAACTGAGTTGAAAAAAGGTCCCAAAATGGCATCTGGAACTTTTTACTTCTAACATATTCCTGATCTAAACATGTTTTGTCACTTGCCCCTTTATTATTAATTTGTTTCCCTGCTTAATACATTTCAGTTATTTGAATTCTTGTTACACCTTTATTTTTATTCTCCTATAATGAAAAGACCCATTATCACCCAAAAGAATAACCACTTATATCTTGATCCCTAAACATTATTTTCAATACTTTAACATAATGTAAAAGGAATTGCAAAAAATTTTATAAAGGGCCACAACTATGTTTTTGTCCCAATCCCCACATATTTTCATATAGAGCTGATAGGTGCACAACAGGTATCCAATAAATACTTAAGTGATTTATCCTATACTGCTTTCTGTTGTTTTGTTAGCAAATTATTATTCGTTATGAGTATCAATTCTTAAATTAAAAAAAAGTCACTATATTCTTAGGACAGTGAAACTATTCTGTATGATACCATTAATATAATGGTAGACACACGTCCATATAAATTTGTTCAAACCCAAAGAATGGACAACACCACAAGTAAGCCCATGTAATATTAACTATGGACTCTGGGTGATAATGATGTGTCAATGTAGGTTCATCAGCTGTAAAAATGTACCATTCTGGTGGGGGAATATTCATAATAGAGGGTGGTGGTATACATGTGTGGGGGCAGGGGATATATAGGAAATCTTTGTATTTTCTGTTCAATTTTGCTGTGAACCTAAAATTGCTCTAATAGACACAGTCTACTGAAAAACAAGTCACTAAAGCAACTATTAAAAAATCAAATGTGATTAATATAACCAATAAAAAGCTTAAAATATAAATTCATAATGACCTAAGTTCCTTTTTAAAGTTATGAGTTTTCTAGAGACATAAAAACCAATTATCTTTTAACCACTGATAGATATTTTTAATTATTTATTTATACAATACTATAAGAAAAATGATTAAGAATTACTTACCTGAGGGATAACAATATCTGCTAATGCCTTTGAAAGCCTATATAATTCCATTGTGTTTTCTAATTTCAAGGAACCATTATGCTGGACATCATATTTTATACAGTCATATATGTCAGGGATTTTACTAATATCATATCTTCCATTCTTTGTTTTAAAGTCTTTCTCCAACTTGGACCATCTACGTAGCATAAGCTCCAATGTTTCACTATGATAAAGCTGAATATCTAAAACAACATAACATTTTTAGTATATTCAACTTAAAAATCTTACTAAGTATATTAAAAATGTTGATAATTAGAAACTTTTTAAAGTGTCAAAAGTATAATAAAATTGTAAGGAGCTAGGAATATTATTATAGGCATATATTATTAGCAACCATATATTTTATACACTTGGATCAAATATAAGTACTTGGAACTAGGTTTATAAAAGACCTCTTCCATATGTTGTATGATTTTAATAACAACAATAAAAAAACAATTATAACAAAACTCTTTTAAGCTAATATATTTTCAACTTTGAAAAATATATTATTTTTATTAGATTCACATAACAGAGTGGGCAGACTATCTTTAGCAGAAAGGAATCTTAGATGTTAAAAATAGTTCAAATTATTCATTTTTAGCAATGAGAAACCAAAGACACCAAAGTTGTCCAAGTTATTAACCAAGCTAACATTAGAACCAGAGCCCAGATCACCTTCTTGTTGCTTGCTCCTTATCATGCTGCCTATTTACTACTTAATTATATGGCAATACTAGATAATAAGATAATCAAATGAGGATGTTTTATTGTTCCTTTCATGCTGCCATGCATTAAAGCAGCCATAACTTAACTATTATTCTTTTGATGGATATATATTAACTCACATTATACCTAGATCTCAAGAGAGGCTTGATGTCTTAAAACAAGAAGATTAGTGTGTCTTATTTAAAGATGCTTACAGTAATTGAATAGTAACTTTTATTTGTTTTATACTCTAAGAAACACAGTATTTACCTGATGATTTGGGATCTTCCATTCGATGTCTGATTTGAGAAGTCAAACTCTGAATCAAAGAATAAACTTTATCACAGGTCTTCACAGGATTTTTAATTAAATGCATTGATTTGACAAGAGAAATGCTTCCAGATGGAGTAAGCTAAAAAGGAATAAAGCATATATTTTATATCTGGTTATGCTTAATTGTCTAGGAGAATAATACACATATATCAAATTATTTAGTTGCTGGAGAATAATTCCATACCACTAATTAAGATGACCCCCAAAATATAGGTGACCCTTGAACACAGGTTTGAACTGCACAAGTCCACTTATAAGCAGATTTTTTTTGATGAAAGTTACACAGAATGTACCTGCCTTTTCTGCCTCCCCTTTTGCCTCTACTTTTTCCACCTGATATCTCTGGGACAACAAAACTAACCTCTCTTCTCTTCCTCCTCAGCCTAATCAAAGTGAAGATGACAAGGATGGAGACCTTTATGATAATCCATTTCCACTTAAGGAATAGTAAATATATTTTCTCTGTTTTCTTAATAACATTTTATTCTAATTTACTTTATTGTAAGAATACAGTACATAATACATATGACACACAAAATAAGAGGGCATTTCAAAAACTTCGTGGAAAAATGGAATTAAAAGATAAAAATTAAAAATCAAACCTTATTTCTTAACATAAATTCCATTAAGGTTGTGACACTTCTATAAGTGATGATACCAGCCATTTAGCCCATCCCTGAAGAACTGAGGGTCCTGGGAATTTAATCATGTCAATGCAACCTTTTTTACATTATTAAATGAAGAAAAATGGGTACCCTTTATACCCATTTTTAAGATTAGGAAACACAAATAAGTCAGAGGAGCCAAATCAAGACTGTAAGGTGGATGCCTAACGACTTCCCATAGAAACTCTGGCAAAATTGCCCTTGTTTCACAAAAGGAAATGAGCAGGAGCATTGTCATGGTGGAGGACTCTCTGGTAATGCTTTCCTGAGCATTTTTCTGCTAAAGCCTTGGTTAACTTTCTCAAAACACTCTGATATTAGCAGATGTTATTGTTCTTTGGTCCTCCAGAAAGTAAAAAGTAAAATGCCTCTGAGCAACCCAAAAAACTGTTGCCATGACCTTGCTCTTGATTAGTCTACTTGACTGGACCACTTCCACCTACTCCAGCCTTTGCTTTGATTGTGCTTTGTCTTCAGGATCATACTTGCAAAGCCATGTTTTCATCTCCTGTTACAATTTGTTGAAGAAATGCTGCAGGATCTTGATCCACTTGTTTAAAATTTTCACTGGAAGCTCTGCTCTCATCTGCAGCTGATCTGGGCACAATGGTTTTGGCACCTACTGAGTGGCAAGTTTGCTCAACTGTAATTTTTTAGCCAGAATTGTATAAATTGTACCGAGATGTCTATGGTGTTGGCTAATGTTTCTTCTGTTCATTGCCCATCCTCTTCAATCAGGGCACGAAGAAGGTGAGTTTTTTCCTCGAAAATCAATGTGGATGGTCTGCTGCTGTGGGCTTCATCTTCAACATTGTCTTGTCCCTTCTTAAAACAAGTTATCCATTTGTAAACTGCTAATTTTTTTTTTTTTTTTTTTTGAGACAGAGTCTCACTCTTTTGCCTGGGCTAGAGTGAGTGCCGTGGAGTCAGCCTAGCTCACAGCAACCTCAAACTCCTGGGCTCAAGCGATCCTCCTGCCTCAGCCTCCCGAGTAGCTGGGACTACATGCATGCGCCACCATGCCTGGCTAATTTTTTCTATATATTTTTAGCTGTCCAATTAATTTCTTTCTATTTTTTTAGTAGAGACGGGGTCTCGCTCTTGCTCAGGCTGGTTTCGAACTCCTGAGCTCAAACAATCGGCCCGCCCTGGCCTCCCAGAGAGCTAGTATTACAGGTGTGAGCCACCCGCGCCCGGCCTGAACTGCTAATTTTTGAGGGGCATTGTCACTACAAATTTTTTGTAAAGGAGCAATGATTTTACAATTCTTCCACTCAGGTTTCACCATAAATCTGTTGTTTTTGTAGAATTTTTGTAGAATTCATGTTGCCCTGAAAGGGGCTCTTTTTGAACTGATGTCTTATCCTTCTTAGTGCCCCAAACTAGACCCCATTCAGACATGTTATAACAAGTTAGTAGAGTTTATTTTGGTGCAAAAAAAAATTGAACTTCATAGTTTTTTCATAATGTGCATTTTCCATGAACTTTTTGAAGATCTCTGGTATGTCTTAATTAACTATGTTATCAGTAAGGCAACAGTAGGCTTAACTTAGTATGTTAAGTTTTTACAGAGTCAAAGTTATACACCAATTTTTGACTATGAGGGGGGTTGGTGCTCCTAACCCCCACATTGTTCAAGGGTCAATTACATAGTAATAAGATCAAGGAGGAAGTAAAAGACTCAGAATTTCATGTCTGAGTACACTAGTACTCTATTAGTACACTAGTTATCATTAGAAAATCCACAGAGAAAATCTAGCTGAAATATTCTAATTTAATGGAATTTAATAACAATTTGCTGACTCACTTAATATGTGTAAATATGGTCCTAACCACTTAACATATGTTTGCGTGTAATAACCCTAAGCCTGTATTATTATCATTATCTTTTCCCAGATGAAGTATTTAACTGAGGTTAAGCTACTTGCTCAAGATCAAGCCACCAGTATGTAAAGGGGTAGGATTCAAGCGCAGGTAGTCTGGGTACAGAGCTGGCGCTCTTAATCACTATGCTCTTATGTCTTTGTAATGATTTTTTTCCAATTCAACAAAAACCATTGATAACAACCTAATTCCAAATTTTAGTTTTGTCACTTAGCTTGGCAAGTTATTAAACCACAGCAAATAGGTGTCTACAAATATAAAACATATAAGGTGGAATTCTGTTTCTAGTTATGATGAACAAGGTAGTTTGAACCAATCTAATTGCTGAAGGTAAATAAAAATTCTGGGCAAAAAAGTTCTATACTTCTGTTTTAAGGTATCTGAGAAATAACAAGTTTATAAAGAATTATGGGAGGTCTCAGCAAAACAGGCCCCAAAGCAGGATCGTTACAAGGGATTTGGAAATAATAGGAAATAAAGAAATAATATAGATGGAGAAATGATTGAGATGGAGACAAAGTGCAGTTTAAGTGATGGGGTAGTTAGGGATCCTCCGGCATTCCCATGAGCTGTGAATCCCCGACTGAAATCCCACATCAGTATTTATTGTTACAGCAAATAGTTGTCTTTTGTTAAAGAATTATGTGTACAGCTCATTTTTTGGGGTTTCCAGGGGAAACTTACCTAACTCTGTCTACAATAGACGGTTACAAAATTTTTCTAAGATAAGCATGTTAAGCCCTAAGTTAGAAACAGATCTAGCTGAGCATACAAATCAAAGATAAAGTGTATAAAATGTATAAAAATGTATAAAACTGAGTCTGCCTACTACTCTAATCTACTTCTTCTAAACACAGAGATATGTAGTCAGGAGTGAAGCAGGAATAGCCTTGAAGTCTAGGATAGTTCCAGCTGCATGTTATCTGCTGGGCAGGCATTCTTTTTTTTTTTTTTTTTTTTTGAGACAGAGTCTCACTGTGTTGCCCGGGCTAGAGTGCCGTAGCATCATCCTAGCTCACAGCAACCTCAAACTCCTGGGCTCAAGCAATCCTTCTGCCTCAGCCTCCCAAGTAGCTGGGACTACAGGCATGCACCACCATGCCTGCCTGATTATTTTTTTTTCTATATATTTTTAGTTGTCCAATTAATTTCTTTCTATTTTTAGTAGAGACGGGGTCTCGCTCTTGCTCAGGCTGGTTTCGAACTCCTGAGCTCAAACAGTTGGCCCGCCTCGGCCTCCCAGAGAGCTAGGATTACAGGCGTGAGCCACCGCGCCCAGCCTGGGCAGGCATTTTAATCAGCTTCTCTGCCAAGGACTCAAACCGAGCTTCTGCCTTGCAAAAAAGCTCAAGGCAATGGCCAGCAGCAAAGAAGAAAAGTTGCTTTGCAAATGTCCTCTGACAATGCCTCCTTTGTTGGAAGCAGCTTCTATTCTGTGAACAAACATGTCCACAGATTCCTTCAAGGCAAGGCCCTGCAAAATTCCTGAAATCTTTCATGTCTCTTAGCCTATTTCCCAACAGGAAGCAAAACTCTAAGGCTGGTGATCTAGAAAGTGAGCCTCGCATTTAAAAGTGTTTTTGTACTGGAAACATTTGTATTTATAAATATAGTCAAAAGAGTGCATAAAGGAAAATTTACAGCCTAGAGTGCATAGTTTATAAAAGATTAAACGTTAACGAATTTATGAGTATCTGTCTAGTGTTACTAGTTTTCAAGAATTAGAAAAAGAAAACTACAGAAGGAACAAAATATTAAACAGTAAGAATTAATCAAATGGAAAACAAGCACATAATTCAGAGAACCAACAAATCTAAACAATGGTTCTTTGAAAGGACTAATAAAATGGATTGACCACCATGGTGAAACTGATCAAGATAAAAAGAAAAAAGGTATGTTAAGAAACAAAAAGGGACATCTGTACAGATCCTGCACACATTATAAAGAACATTATAAAGAGGATATTATGAACAAACTTCTAGAAGAATGTAATTTAACAATACTGACATAAACATGATTCAGAAGTACTAACTTATTCTGAAATCCATAATTAGAAACTCTCCCACAAACCATCTATAAGATTTACCAGTAAATTTTACCAAAACTTCAATGAAATGTTTATATACAAACTATTCCCCCAAAACAGGAAGCACTCCCTAACTAATTCTACGAGACTAACATAATCCTGACACTGAAAGCAAAGACATAATAAGAATAAAAAAGTAAAGGCCAATCCGACTCATGAATATAGATGCAAAACTCCTAACCAAAAGTATTAGCAACAAAAACCAGTGATGTACAAAAAAGAAAATACACACACAAAAAAGTTGAGTTTATTCTAGGACCAAGGTTAGTTTCACATTCAAAAAACCACATGATACAATCGACTAGAGAAGACATGATAAAATTCAATAACTTTTCTTGAGAAAAACTCTTAGCAAAATAGGAACAGAATGGAATTTCCTTATTTAGGAAAAGAGTAGCTATAAAAAATATCTACATAAAAATTTATCCTTAATGTACAAGCGTTAAATGCTTTTCCTTTGAGAACAGGGACAAGAAATGCTACTTCTATTTAATATTGTTTTGAGGCTCCTAGCTATTGAAGTAAGGCACAAAAAAGCATAAAAAAGCATGAAGATTAGATAGAAAAAAATCTGTCGATACACTTTTAAAGAACAACGAAAAAAAATCTAGATAAATTAAAACTGAGTTCAACAAGGTTGATGCATATACTATCCATTTTTAAAAAACTAATTATATTTCTATATAGCAACATGAGAGAAAAAAATTTTTAAAGAGGTACCATTTATATCTGCATAATACCAGTCATCTCAGTCTAAATCTAACAAACCTTGCACACAGATGTATAAGACCTCTAAGGAGAAAATTATAAAACATCATAGAGATATTGAAGTACATCTAAATAAAAGGAGCTACACTAAGTTCAGACTGAAAGACTAGGTAAAAAGATAGAAATTTACACAAACTACAGATTTAATACAATCTAAATAAAAATCCTAACAGTACTTTTGACCAGCTTATTTTAAAATTTATATGGAAACGTAAGAAAAGCCAAAAACGCTCGAAGAAGGATTCGTGTGGGTGTTGGGAAGTATTATTTCATTAGCACAAGGATCATCAAACAATATAGGGTCTAGAAACGGATCACACACATGTGATAAAGGTGGTATTGTGGTATTATGGAATAGTGGGGAAAGAAGTCTTTTCAGTATGTGGTGCTGGAACATCTGGATGTACATAGAGTTGCAGGGAAAAAAAAATCAATTTTGGCACCTTTACCTCACGGCACACATGAAAATCAATTTTATCTGGATTGCAGATAAATGTGAAGGGCAAAACAGCAAAGCTTATAGAGAATATCCTATGACCTGTGGTTAGAAAAAGATATCTTAAACAGTAAAAATTGAACTTGGAATTCATGAAAAATAAGAACTTATCAAAGACGCAGTAAGATTCAGAGTAGGTGGTAGTAACCAAAATACATATATAACAAAGAACTCATATCCAGAAAAACTTCTACGACTCAATAAAAAAAAACACAGACAACTAGTAGAAAAAAAGGACAAGAGTCTTGTCTTCATTAAAGAGGATATCTAAATGGTCACACATTAAAACCACAATGAATGGAGACTATGAGGAGCAATGACAAACCTCATGGAATTCAGGTGGGAGTGTATTAATAAATTGGCTCAATGACTTTGGAAAACAGTTTGACATGATCTACTAACATGGAACGTGATAAGCAAATCGTGGTTCACAACAATTCCACTCCTGGAATATACCCAAAAGAAACATGTGCTCATCTGCACCAAGAGAAATACAAAGATGTTCATAGCACCTTCAATTATAACAGCCTCAAACTGTAACAATAATAGAAAGCATATACAAATTGTAGTATGTTCATAAAATAGAACATAGATCAACAAACTACAGCCTGTAGGTCAAGTGTGGCCTGTGGCAAAGCCCATGAGCTAAGAATAGTTTTTACATTTTTAAAGGTTAAAAAAAAAAAAAAAAGACTATGCAACAGACTGTTTCAGGCCTACAAAGCCTCATTTTTTTTAGTAAAATATTAACTATCTGGTCTTTTACAGAAAAAGTCTGCCAACACCTGAAATAGAATACCACCACACGGCAATTATTACTAACTAACTATGACATTATTCAATAATATGGTTGAATTTCACAAATATTGAATAAAAAAAGTCAGAAATAAAAAAACCAAACATGTTCTACTATATGAAGCTTAAAAAAGTAGCCAAAGTAAATTAGTACTATAGAGACATTAATGGAAAACATTACAAACACTGCTCAAAAAACTAAAGATAGGACTACCATATAATCCAAGAATCCCACTACTGTGTGTATAGAGAAGGGAAATGAAATCAGTATGTCAAAGAGATATCTGCATTCCCATGTTCATTGCAGTATTGTTCACAATAGCCAAGATATGGAATCAGCCTCAATGTCTGTCAATGGATGAATGGGTGAAGGAAATGTGGTACATGTATATAACAGAATATCATACAGCCTTAAAAATGAAAGAAATCCTATCATCTGTAACAACATGGATGAACTCAGAGGACATCATGTTAAGTGAAATAAGCCAGGCACAGAAAGACAAACACATGTGATCGCACTTATATGTAGAATATAAAAAAGTTGAACTCATAGAAGGAGAGTAGAATGGTGGTTACCAGGGGCTGGGAGGGAAAGGGAATGGGGAGATATTAGTTAAGGGATACAAAATTTCAGTTAGATAGAATAAGTTCAGGAGATCTATTATACAACATGGTGACTATAGCAATAGTAATGGATTATATTTTTGAGAAAACTGCTAAGAGAGTAGATTTTAAGTATTCTCATCACAAAAATGGTAAGTCTGTGATGCATATGTTAATTAGCTTGGTTTAGTTATTCCACGATGCATACACATTTCGAAACATCATGTTGTGTACAATATACAATTTTTGTCAATTAAAATACATTTAAAGTTAAAAAAAAAAGTAAAGAAAAAATAGCCAAAAATGAGACTACAATGGTTAGAGATGTATACTTAACCATGTAAGTATTCTGGCTATGATAGGACTATAAAAAAGAACAACATAAAAGTCAGGATGGTATTATAGTATTATTTTGAGGAGACAGGGAACAAGTGGCAATTGGGAAGTAAACACAGGGGCCAGAGTTGTTCCAGTGTTCTATTTCTCTACCTGGAGGATGATTACATAAGTATTTGCTTTATAATACCATAAGCTGTACATGTATGTTTTATGCACTTTACTGTATGTGTGTAATATTTCACAATATAAAAGACTTTGCTAAGACTCACCTTTTCATAATCTTCAGCAGTAAAATCTCTGTCTTTCTGAAGTATTTCATGGAGCCTTGCCTTCACACGTTGCTGACAACTGCTCAAAGAGTCACTATCGCTATCCAAAAGACCGTTCATATTTGCACTTTTCACCATTTGAACAAGAATGGGTGTAAGTTCTCCTTCTAGAGCTAATAGCCCCTAAAGATATTAAATAAAGCCAACAGATTTAAAAAATTAATATGCAAAATAGAAAGTATCATAATAACTACTTCGTTATGTGCTGAATTTCATAAGGTATAAGATAACTATAATAAATCAACTTTATTAATAATATACTTCATCCTTGTCATTTGACAGCTTTACTTGGAAGTTCCAAATATGGAATTTTTAAATACTGCCTTATTAAAAATGTTTTAAAATGTAATATTAGATAAAAATTATGGTAATTCTAAAAAAATACTTATTTATACCTTTGCAAAAGCAGCTGCAGTCATCTGGACTCGTCCTTCATCAGAGGCATATATTTTAAGATCATGTCGGTAGGTGCTATGTAATCTAAGTAAACCACAACCAGGAAATCCTGCATAATCTCCTGAAAATAAATCCTCAAATCACTTAAGCTATATTTTTATCTC